ATGAAAAATTTAAGAAATCACAAGAATGGAATATGCAGGAATTGTGTGACACCATAAAAAGATCAAGCTTATGAATCATAGGCATACAGGAAGGAGAAGAATCTCAGGATAATGGTATGGACCAGATCTTCAACAGTACTGTAGAAGAAAATTTCACCAAATTAAATAAAGACATGCCATACAAATACAAGAAGCATATAGAACATCAAATAGACAGGGACAGAAAAGAAACTCTCCATGGCACATTATAGTAAAAATATTAAATGTTCAGAACAAGGAGACAATGCTGAAAGCTGCAAAAGAAAAACAACAAGTCACATATAAAGGAAAACTTATCAGGATTATGGCTGACTTTCAGTGCAAAATATGAAAACCAGAAGAGACTGGACCAAAGTATTCCCAGTCCTAAATGACCACAGATGCCAACCCAGATTACTTTACCCAGCCAAAATGTCTATCATAGTTGAAGGGGAAAGAAGAATCTTCCATGACATAAAGAGGATGAAAGAATTCATGTCCACAAAATCAGCCCTTCAGAGAATTCTTGAAGCAATACAAAGAGCTGAAGAAAGGAACAACTATATACAAGGAGCGAAGGAAAGAAATTCAATGAAGGTATAAATGTGGAAACGCACAGGTATATCAAGAAGGTGAACAGAAATAAAATGACAGGATTCAATATACATCTTTCATTAATAACTTTAAATATCAATGGACTGAACTCCCCAGACAAAAGATACAGACTAGTTGAATGGATTAAGAAACAAAACCCATCCTTTTGTTATCTGTAAGAAACTCATCTCACTTTCAAGGACAGGCACTACCTTAAGGTGAAAGGATGGAATAAAATATACCAAGCGAATCATATGAAGAAAAAACCAGGCATTGCAATTCTAATATCTGACAAAATAGACTTTAAACTAAAACTAATCAGAAGAGACAAAGGTGGCCACTTCATGCTGATCAAAGGAACACTAAACCAAGAAGATATTACAAACATGAACATGTATTCACCAAACTCTGGTGCAACCAACTTCATAAAAACAACTCTACAGGACTTTAAGACCCAGATTAATCCCAACTCATTAATAGTAGGGGACTTTGATACCCCACTCTCTCCATTAGATAGCAATGGGGCACAGAGAGTTAACAGAGAGACATCTGAATTAAACAATACTATATGTAGGGACCTAGATGGCCCTGCAAAGATGGCACCAAGAGGAAGTAAGCAGGGCATGGCCTGACTTGATTTGGAAGTCTTCGGATTGGCTAATGGACGTTTCTGCACTCCTGAGGAGTGTGTGATCAGTGTGAGCTCGCCATTGAAATCCATGAAGTGCTGCCCACGTGCTTGGTTGACCTTTAAGCTGATTGGACACCTTCATGGGGAGGGGGATTTCCATTTATGGTTAATGCCTTTATAAGCTCTCGACTTTGATACCCCACTCTCTCCATTAGATAGGTCAATGGGGCAGAGAGTTAACAGAGAGACATCTGAATTAAACAATACTATATGTAGGGACCTAGATGGCCCTGCAAAGATGGCACCAAGAG